GGAGGAATGGAATGGGGTCTGCTCTCCAAGCCCTGCCCTGGTGCCTGGGCTTCAGGAGGTGGTCAGTGCAAAGAGACAGGGAGCTCTTGCGCATACATTTCAGCTGGTAGAGGGGATGCCAAGATGCAGCATGAGGCTGGGGCACAGCCCAGCCTGAAGGCTCGGAGCAGTTTTCTTCCAGTCTGATGTCCGTTTGTCCTGCCAGGCAGTGTGCTCATAAACTGGAACCCGCAGAAAGAGGAACTAGGTCCTGACACTAACGGATGAGGGGAACGAAGGGTGCCGTACTTTGGGTCTGGAGTGCTTCCCAAAGGCTCATGCATTGAAGGCTTGGCCAAGAGCAGGAGTGTCCAGAGGCTGGGCTTTGGAGGAAACATTTGGACCATGGTTTCATTCATGGAAGAATCCGTCAATGGGTTTATAATTAAATTGATTATTGAGAGGTGGTGAGAACAGGAGGCGGAGCCTCGTTATAGGAAGCAGGTCCCTTAGGGGCATCCCTGCTCCCCAGCCCCTTCCTCTCACTCTTTTTCACTCCTGGCTGTCATGAGATGAGAAGCCCCTCCTCCACATGCTCCTACCACCATAAAAATATCAGCAAATAAAACCTGAAACATTTCAAAAGGATTATATATCTTGACTAAGTAGGGAATGTCCAAGGAATACAGGATCAACATCAAAGAATAAATCAAAGCCTGGTGTGGTGAACTGCACTTGTAATCCCAGCACTCTGGGAGGCTGAAGCAGGAAGAATAAATGCAACTTGGACTCTAGACTTGGCAACTTAGTGAGACCCCTGTCTCAAAATCGGACTCGTAGTGATCCACCTGTTTACAGTCACTCAAGAGCTGGGATTGTAGGCCTGCGCCACCATGCCCAGTCTCAATTGCCATCTCAGTGCACCCTGGGGTGGGGCCGGCATGACAGGCCCAGGGATCAAACCCCTGGCCCCTGCTCCTGCTTGCTTTATTTTTTATTTTTTAATTTTAATTTTAATTTTTTTGGGCAGAACCCGGGATTGAACTCAGGCCCTTGCACTTGCCAGGGAAGCACTTATTCCACTGAGCCATCTCCCCACCTCCTGCATGTGCTTTAATCAGCTGAGCTATTTGGCCGCCTCCATCCGTGTCTCAAAACCTAAAATAAATAAATAAATAAATAAATAAATAAATAAATAAATAAAAAGAGCTAGGTATGTATCTCATGCTGAGGCCCTGGGTACAATCTCCAGTACTGTCAAAATATAAATATAATTTATCCCATCAGTAGACTACAGAGAGGCTATCATAGGATCATCTTATCAAATGAAGGAAAGAAGCAGTTGATGCAATCTGATAGTATGTGATTGGAAAAGGCTCTCAGAAAGCTGGGTATGGGTGGGAATTGTTGCATAGATTATCAAATTGGAAGGATAGTTAAGCGACTATAAAACATCAAAATCAATGTAAAAATCCAATACATTATCAACAAATTATTGAAAAATGAAATTGGTAGATCGTTTTTACGTAGCAGCAAGACTCCTTAAGTACTGCAGAGTGACTCTTATGAGAGATCTGTACTGAAAACTGCAGCAAATAGCTGGCAGAAATCAAAGATTAAAATAGAGGGATAAACCATGTTTCGCATGTTGAGAAACTAAATGTTGTGAAGATGTTTGTTCTCCATAAATTTGCCTGAAAAAAATGAAATAGAAGGAATTGTTCAGTTCTTCACAAGTAGACTTCTGCAGAAATTGTCAAGGAGGCTCTAAAATTTATGTAGAGATACACATCTTGGCAAAGTAGAGAGCTGTATGATTTACACCACCTGATTTCATAACATAAAAGCTACAGTTAGACGCAGTGCCCGCAAGCAACAGCTTTACAGTACAGACTCATAATTCCGTGGGAACTGGGATTCATGTGGCAAAGAAATACACAAAACTGACCTGGACTGGTGTCCCACCCCATCCATAATGTTTACTTGAGCTGAACAATTGGGGATGTGAACTTGCGAATTAGCCCTCGGTCCCCCAGAAGTCCCTGTTCCCTCCTAGCCTCTTCTCACGACTGCTTTTCTCTGCTCTCAGCGGTGGCTGTGGCTTACCTCACACCTACAGGGAAGGCCGGGGCTCCTCCCCATCCCCATGTCATCCCGTTCCACCACACGGCCTGTCCACCCACCCTCTCAGCACCCACTGTCCTGTCCATTTCCTGAATGATGGCAGCAGCTTTCTGAGCTCATAACTGCAAGTCCCTTGGCTGTCCTGGCCCTGCTGGCTCATCCCTCCAGCCTGCTGTTCGCTTGGGGTCTTTAATACCAACACTCTATCACAGTCCCTCCAGGAGCAACAGGATGAAAGAGTGGTTTCCACTTGCCTCAGTTTCCTTCCTGTGCTCTCAGATGGGGGTTCCTCATACTTCACAGTGCTACTGCTTCACCTGTGCCCTTCTCCAGATGTTGAGCTCCTTGGGGACAGTGGCCACCAGTGCAGGTCTGTGAGTTGCACACTGTGCCCAGTGCATGGCCAGGAGCACACTTGGAGGACAAGGCCCCAGCAGCGGGGCTCAGTGGTGAGCAAACCTGAGCCCTTGCCTGGCATCAGTGGTCAAATTGTGGGCTGGCTGAGAAACATCCACAATCCAGGACCAGCCCCTCAGCTGCATTTCATTTTAGCTGCCTCCTTTACTTGTCTAGCCTTATTCTTCATCAATTACCCATCTATCATCCATCCATCCACCCACCCACCCATCCATCCATTCTCCCCACCCATCCACCCATCCATCCATCCATCCATCCATCCATCCTCCCATCCACCCACAATCCACTCATCCACCTATTCATCCATCTACCCATCCATCCATCCACTCATCCATCCATCTGTCCCCCCCCACCCATCCATCATCCCATCCACCTACCCATCCATCCATCCTTCCTTCCTTCCTTCCATCCATCCATCCATCCATCCATCCATCTCCCACCCACCCATCCATTATCCACCCATCCATTGTCTATCCATCCATCCATCCATCCATCCATCCATCCATCCATCCATCCATCTGGCCAACTGTCTATCCAGTGAACACATCTTTTTCCCATTCCTGGATGACAGCAGGGCTTTGTTTCCTCATTATTTAATGACATGTACTTGCTCAGTGCCTTGTCTTGCACTAGAAAAAAAGCTGCCCACAGACACAGAACTAGCCACCCTGTCATTGCAATGTCACCCTCCCTGAGTCCACTATGGCCTCAGACCAGCAGAGTCCCATGTCCCCAGTCTCCCACTAGAGCCAGCCCTCCTGAGGGCTCAGGCCAGGGAAGGGGCAGAGGGCCTTCATCCTAGCTTCTCTGGGGCAGGCGGCCACAGGTAAGCTTTTCTTCCTTCTTCTTTTGAACAGCCTCCAGTTTCCACAATGAGCAACAGCACATTATTTTTTCAATGGGAAAAAACCACAACTGTATCTAATATTTTAAAGATTGCTGTGTAGCACTTTGTTATAATCATTTTTGCACAGCGGTGATATCTTTATTTTGGTGAAAAGTAAAATATAAAAGGAATTTCCTGAGGGTCTGTATTACATGAGCAAAGTGTTCTTCACTAAAAATGTGTCCATCCAGTGGAAAGGATGTTGGCAATTTATCTTTTCAATAAATATTTTTTGTAGGCCCTAAATTTGTCTCAGTATTAAATGGCAATCCCAGCTCTCCCCTTTATTATTATTTTTTATTTTGAGACAGGGTCTTGCTAAGATGCGCGGGTTGGACTCACACTTGTGGTCCTCCTGCCTCAGCCTCCCAGGAGTGCTGATTACAGGAATTTGCCACCACACTCAGCTCAGTGTTTTAACAATGTGCGTGCATGGAGGGAGGGAGATATATTTGTGCATTTTAAATGATCAGAAAACTGACAAGGTGATTAGTATTTCAGAAGCTTGGCGCCTCTGCCTCTCTGTCTCTGTCTCCATCTGTCTCCCTCTCTCCCAGTCTGTGTCTCACTCTGTATCCCTGTCCATCTGTCTCTGTCCTTGTCCCTGTGTCTCTGTCTGTCTGTCTGTCTGTCTGTCTGTCTGTCTGTCTGTCTCTCCAATTCTAGGGTAGGAGAAATCAGGACTGGCCACAGGTGAACCAAGTTGAGGGAGGGGGAGGGTTAGCACAGGCCCTGGCAGGCAGTAACCTGGGACAAGTAGGTGCATTGTAGCTGGGGTGGGCGGGACAGTCCAGCCAGGAACTGGGTCTTTTTGGTGATCAAGCAGCGCCACCTGGTGGTCTCTATTGGTAACACCAGGAGAGAGAATTGGGGTGATCTCCCTGAGCGTACACACTGAGGTGAGGGGAGGCAGGCTCTGAACTGCGAGGGTTTGGGGAGCACATGAAGGAGCGAGCAAGACATGAGTGGTCCAACTGAGGCTCTTTTTGGGGAAGAGCCAGGTGTGTGGGGAGAATCTGCCCCGGAGCCAGAGTCCTGGGGCTCCAACACCTCCAGCCACCCTGGGGGTCCACAGTAGGCCACATGAACCACCATGGTTGGGGAGGAGCTTGCATCTCTGCTCTGTGTCCGGACACGCTTTTCCTTTCTGTACGTGCCTGTTTTCGTGGTCTCTTATCCTCTGCAGGCCTCCAGGCCCCCTAGGCCAGGATGACCTAGGTGGGGTGAAGGAGGCCTGGTCCTTCCTACGTGAGGCCGAAAACAGTGGCATAGCTGGGGGAAGGTGCAGGGGCGAGAGTCACAGTGGTCCATCCCAGGCAGCACACTTTTGGCAATTTTGTAACAATTGACTCCATTTTAACACCGAGAAGATTTGTGGAAAGGTGGTGAACTGAAGGACCGCACCGATGGAGAGCAGCGAGTTGCAGGATAGCCACGAGGTGAAGGACGGCCACGAGGTGAAGGACGGCCATGAGGTGAAGGACAGCCACGAATTAAAGGACGGCCACAAGGTGAAGGACAGCCACGAATTAAAGGACGGCCACAAGGTGAAGGACAGCCACGAGTTAAAGGAAGACCAGAAGCTGCAGTAATTCTAACGATGGGGCGGCGGCCTCGGCTGGGAGGCAGGGACCACCCCCTAGACAGCTTGCTAGTACTCAGCTGGGTGTTCTCTGTCAGGGCCCTCTGCAGAACCACCCCTGGCTTCTCTCGCCTCCCGCGCTGCCGGCCCATTACGTAGTAAATGACGGGCCTGGAAGTGCTGTCAATGCAGGCCAGGAAGGTGGCCAGAGGGAGGAACATGGGCATCAGGAAGTTTATGATAGGTCGCAGGCTCCAATAGAGGACGAAGGGCAGGCGACAGACGAAGACCAGGGACCCCGTTGTCTTGACAACACGGTAGAACTTGGGAAACTTGCGCAGTCGGCAGCAGCTCAGCCAGAGGAGGGTCATGCTGGCCCCACTCGCTGTGATCATGAGGGTCACCAGCCAGGCGACGCTGGCCATGTGGTAACGGAGGCAGGCCACCAGGCGAAAGCTGTCTTGCAGCATGCCACAGGCCCTGGCGGTCGTTAGCACAGCCACCACGGTCATCACCCAGACTATGGCGCAAATGATAATCGAGGTCCACTTGGGACGGTTGCACCTGCAGCAGGAGGTGAAGGCGAAGGAGATGCAGCACTCGCTGCAGAAGACGGTCTGTAGCCAGAGCCCCGCTGTGAACCACAGGAAGGTAACCACGAAGAAAATCGTGCTCTGGGAGTTGCCCAGCACCACATGGCTGATGCAGAAGCCTGCCTGGCAGCAGAGGAACAGGAAGTCGGCGGCGGCCAGGTTCAGTAGATAGGTGTTGAGCGCACGCTTCCTGATGCGGAAGCCCAGGTACCAGAGCACCAGTCCGTTGCCTGCCGCCCCCAGGAGCGACACAGCCAGAGTAAGGTAGATGATAATTTGGCTGAGGCTACCCAGGTAGCTTGGGAGCTTAAACATGTTGAGCATGTCGAAGCCAAACGCATTGAAGCCGAAGATGTTGAAGCCGAACATGTCGAAGTTAAACAAGTCAAGGCCAAACATCTTGGCTGGCTCTGAGGCACAGGAAGGATCCTGCAGAGGGGGACAGGTACTGCTCAGTGGTTGTCCTGAGGCTGTTGTGCACCCCCCTCCCAGCTCCGCGTGACTTCAGTCGGTGCTCAGCCAGCTGGTCTCCCAGTCACACATGCCCAGTGCCTGTCATACCTGCAGGTGGCCAACCCTGACTTCCTCCTGCTGGGCAGAAAAATGTCCCTTCCCGGTGAGGCATATGCAGAGCCCACCCTGTACTGCATAACTGTAGACAAAGAGGACACACAATGGGGCTCCCCCTTCTCTCTTATTAGGGACCCCACAGGGAGTCCTGAGGCCTGGAACATTCTCTTGCTAAGGCCTCCTACTCCAAAGGGTCTCTGGCTGAGGAGCACCTGGTGGTGATCCCCCAGAGCACACCGCCCTGCAGTGGGGACAGCTTTGGGACCTCCGGAGGAGTAGCAAGGTATAATGGTAGGGCTGGGAGGTGGAGGGCCCACCCCCCGGCCTGCATCAGGGGTCATAGAGGGAAAACAACTCCAAAGGTCTCTCTGAAGCCTTTGATGACCACCTACAGGGCCTGGGGTCTTCTCGGGGAAAAAGACAGGAGTGTTTGTGGCTGGCTAGAGTGACCCAGGTGTGGGCTTGCCCAGAATGTCCTCAGAGCAGGAAGGAAGGTCTCAGGGCAGCCCCTCCCTGTTCTGCCTCCACTCCACCCCACAGCATCCACAGTGGTCCCTGTTTCAGCCCTGGGGACATGACTGGGGGGGGATAAGGATTTAGGCTGGAGAAGGGGGTGTTTCTAGGAGGCGGCAGGGTGGGGGGAGCTGTGGGAGAGAAGTGGGAAGACAGATGGAGACAGAGGCAGAAAGACAGACACAAAGGAGAGAGACACAGAGGGCACGAAGACAGAGAGAAGAGAACCTCTTGTGGCCTTCGCCTGCTCCTGGGCACACTTTGGCATGGACTCTGTGCCCCACCCGGACCACTCTCCCACCTCCCCACTCACCTGGGTGCACCCCTCCTAGTGCTCCGCTTCCTGTCACGCTCTTGGACCCCCTGTAGCCTCCCTGTCCCTTGGACCACCCTACCTCACACCATGCATCCTCCCCTACCACCCACATGGAGACCAGGCCCCACTCTTGAGCTCTGACACCAGAATCAGAGAGTAGGACCTCGGGGCCTAGGAGTCAGGAACCTGGGTCCACTCTGGCGTCCTGGTGGTGACATGCGGTAAGACTCTACCCCTCTCTGGTCTCAGTTTCCTTGAGGTGCACCAAGGGAAACTGCACTCCTGCTCATTTAACTGGTGGGGTCAAGGCCAATGCAGAGCAGGGCTTATGGGGGGGCACCTCTCTAGATGAGGTGCTGAGGGGAGGCACAAGAAGGGTGCCAGCATGGGGTATGGTCATTGTCATCCAAAAGCCTGGCATCTCCCACAGACCCAGAGCTGTCATCAGTGTTTACCTCCCTCCTGCCCCCTCCGCCACCTCCCAGAAGAAACCTCCAGCCCTAGTGCACTGCTGAGAGCAGGGCCCGGAAAAGGGAACTGCAGGGAATGGGGGAACGCATCTTACCTTGGAGCAGGTGGAGGAATGAGTCTCTTTTCTTGCTGATCACTTGCTGGTAGTGGCTATCTTCAGCTGTCTTGGCCCACACTCCCTGCCTGGGAACTCCTCCCAGGCCCTAAATCCCCTCCTGTCCTCTGGGACCTGACTGGCTGGATTCAGGACGCCCAGTCACTTCGTGGGAAGTAGGAGGGTGTAGTGGTCATTCACAGGACTCTTTGGAGAGAGCTCAGATGGGCTGTGCGTGTGGGCGGTCCTTCCCTCCTCCTGGCCACCGGAGAGGGGAAATGGAAGACCAGCATGTGAGTGGGTTGGAGCAGCCAGTGTCCGTGTGTGAGGACAGCCCCCGGGGTACTTAAGACAAGAGAGAGGCAGACAGAGGCAGGACTACACCAAACACAACTGACCGACGACTTACTGGCAGAAGTGTGGTCCTGCACAGCAGCAAGAGCAGTTGGATGTCTATTACTTGGGTCACAAAGAAGAGCATATTTGTAGCTTAGAAAACGTGACTTCATCTTGCCTGGAATGTATCTGATTTATCTTAAGATAATATCAGAGACTCAGGCTCATCCCTGGAGCCAGAAGCCTGTCATAAAGCTTCACATACCACCCTTCTGGCTTAGTGTATTATAGTTGGCCAGGAAAATATGCAGGAAAACCCAACAAGGGCTATTCTGAGGCAACCATGGCTGTTTCTCAGGATGGCTGTTGCTGTATGTGGCTGAATCCCTATGTCCCTCACTTGTGAGGTCACTTGTCCGGCTGGGAAGCAGCGTCCACAGCAACAAACCAACTTGGGATGGCCGGGAACCTGTTTGTTCCCCATAGCCACTGGGTCCTGTTTGGTGCAGACCCATGAATACCAGGCTACCTCATCCATTGGTGCAAACCCATCCTTGCCTTCAACACGCTGTACGTTGCCACACCAAGCACTTGGTGAGGAGCCCTGGATCTAAGGAAATTGAGGTCAGCGTCCTTGGCATAGTTAGCTCATTCCCAACACAGTAATGCTGGCTGGCTTGAGTGCCTGCACTTGGGGTTATCCATACGCATCTGGCTCAGATACGCTCATGTCTCCCATTATGCCAGTGCTTGGTGTCTTGGTGTCTTTGTCCCAGAAGTTTAGCAGAATTCCACACAGACTGTTCCACGGTGGCCTAGGTAAATGGAGGGCCATGGCTGGAGTACTTGTCATTGGGAGACACTGTAACTGGCCACATGTCTGGTGTTTGGGATATGTGGCTTCCACCAAGACTCCAATATCTAGAACCTTTCAGCCTTGAGAGACCTACTACACTAGTCCAGATAAAATAGGGGGAAAAAATGCCCAGACACTCAAGTGCTGAGCATTTGTAGCACTTGGTGCTTTCTAGAGAAACAGATTTAATGCAAGCTATACAAGCATGTAAGAATTTCCAAGATTGGCTTACAAGGGCTGACCCCAGAGCTGGGTGTGGAGAAGTCCAAAGGGTCTGCTATGCATCGGAGACTTGAAGGATCCAGTTGAAAGCTCACTGTTGTGTCCCCTAGGAGTCCGGATCAGGAGCACAAAGGGTCTGTGATGAAGAGGCTGCGCTGTAAGCCAGTTGACACCATCTGAGGTGAAGGTGAGGACCCGGAACTTCTCTGTAGAAACAGAAGGGAGCCTTCTTCTTCGTTTCCCTTTTATGCGATTCAAGTGCCAAACCTACCTAGGCTCGTCTTCTATTTTCATTAAATCCCCTCAGCCACACCCAGAACTATGCTGATCCAGTTTAGCTGGGCGTGTCTTACCCAAGTTGACTAATCAGCTCCCTATCACAGCGTGGCGCACCCCACTCCCCCCAAGAGACGGATCTGTGGCAAGAGAACTTTGGTTTTATGAGCAATAAAGGAGACCACAGGCTCAGTAGAAGTCCAGGATGAGGGGCAAAACTCCAAATCTTTGCTGAGAACCTGTCACTGTAAATCTGTACCATTCAGGAAAACAATCTGGAGGCAGCATCTCTGACAGACGACCCAGCATCGTAGCTGGGGACTGGACGCTGGGCTCGTTAACTCGCTGCATAACAGCAGGGTCCATAAGGAGCCCCTAATGTGAGTGGTGAAATTCATGCCCACCTAGAAGGGCCCTCCAGTGTTCTGAGAGAGTCCCTTCAGCCCACTCAAGGAAGAAGGTCCAGAGTTCCACAGAATCAATGCTGACTGAGTTATAGGCTTCTTCACACTGTGGGAAGGACAAGACCCCGAGCCCCACTGAAACACCCCCCTCCCCTGGATTTAATGCTTGTGTGGTAACCTCGTTGTTTTCTGCCTGTGCATCATTGACAACAAAACATCACCTGGTTGCACAGCTGGGACGCAACGGCCTTCGGGCAGGCCTGGAGCCCCAGGCCCTCATAAAGGGCCGGCAGGCTCGCTGGCCCTGTGGGTGTTGACATTTCTCAAAACACCTCTGTGGAGTTCAGAGAAACCAGCTGAGGCAGCCTTGTCAATAGGGCCGACATCTGCTGCTCTAATAAGCTGTTCTCCCTCTCCACCCACCCAGCCTGCCAGTTACATGGCTGGGAAGGGTGCCATCCTGTGCTTGAACCCAATCCCGGATGGTGAGTCTGGTGGAATGCACGCCTGACCACTCACTGTCCACCTGTGCGGGTGCCCCTATACCACCCTGAGCTTCTCAAGGCCTTTGGTCATGGCAGTTTCAATAGCTCTCTCTCCCTGGGAAAGGTCACTAGGCAGGCCACTGTCCAGTGACCATGGGCCATTTGCAGTGTGAAATCCAGTACACTGCCACGTGGTCAGAATGGACCACCAGCAGCCAGGAACTCACAGTCACGGTCACCACTAGCCACGCCGCTCCGAGCTCTGCCCACGGTTGCTCAGATCCCCTCTCCTCTCAAGCCAGGTGGTGTTGGTGTCTTCTGGGGTTGTAGCAGCAAGCCAGACACTCAGGCTCCCTGCTGACCCTGTGTGTTTGTCTACCTGGCTTTTGGAAGTGTGGCCTCCACACTGACCAACCAAGGTTTGGAGCATTCTCATAGGTACTGGGCTCGCCCCAGCCCCAGCTCAACTGTATCGTGTTCTGTGTTATGTGGATGGAGGCTGGTGGGACAGGCCATTCTCCCACCCTTCTTGATACACCACTAAAGCCCTCAGTGCACTGTCAATCTGATGGGGAACATCTATTCTCAACTCCTTCTAGAGCTCTCACCACATCCCTAGAGGTGTCTCTAACCCTTGCCCTTCTTACCAGAGAGCCCAGTGCAGGCCACCTCCTATGCCAGTGATGTCTAGCTGCAGAGGTGTCCAGAGCCTGCACCTGGCTGTCATAGTCTTTGCTTTCTCCCATGCTTCCCACTGGGGAGTGTCCCCATCTCTTGTGGAGCCTTGTCCATCAGCTGGGATGGCCGGAATGGGCTCTGAGTGAGAGAAATGGAAGCTCCCGGTGAGCCAGGAGCC